CAGTATCATTTTCTCAGGCCAAAGAGCCTGTGAGTACCATCCTATTTTTGTGGTTGAGAAGAGTGTGAGGACCTCATCCGTGGTCTGTATGGTCATGACAAGACTAGAAACAGCAGTTAGTAACACCATGTGCATCCTGCAATGTGGGGCCACTCCCTCTCCTCGTGGGTCATTGGCCACTGGTCCATGAGGACAAAGGGAGCAGGAGCGAGGAGCGGGGTCAGGACGGCCAGTGAGCACTGACGGAAGAAAGCCCTTCTGGGGAGGCAGGTTCAATGATGCAAACAGCTCCAGACTCAGTGAAACAGCTCCATTTATTCAGTGGGGGTTAGGGAAAATATAGTGTGGAGGCAATAGCCAATGCTTCAGCTGATAGGTGCTCATAGTATGCTTTATTTTTACATGTGGTAGTAGGCTCCTATCATTGGGCTATGAGGCAATGCCTGATTATCATATAGAAAAAACCTGGGGGTAGTTTTTACTCCAGGTAGCTATGCCAAAGGTCATGTTCCAAATAAGGTCAGGCATCAGTGCTTGAGGGCACTTTCCAGGTAAGTCAGGAAGAGAGCAGGAGGTCCCCTGCTGAGAAGGGAAGTCCTTCCACATGGCACGGAGCCCCTTAGAGCCATCCGGACATGGAGGACTACAACCCTAACAGCAGGGTTCCCCAATACTGCAGCAGGTAGTGCTCATCTCAGGACATGTTCCTTCCAGAAGACTGAGTTCACCAAGATTCCTATGTCCAATCTCTGGATGTGGTTTGCCCCCTCTGCCATTGTTATAGGGCAAAAAATCAATGACTTAAGGAGAAAACTGCCTTACAGAAGACTGGAGACCTCATGAAAAGTCTGTCTCATAGGCCAGGCATGATGGCACATACACCTACAGTCCTGGAAGTTGGAAAGTAGAGGTAGGAGGAGGAGAAGTTCAAGATCAGCCTAAGCTACATAGCAAATTCAAAGTCAGCATGGGATTCATGAGACCCTACCTCAAAAGAATTGGGGCAAAATCTCCCCCAAATACTTAGTCAACATCAACCTAACAAAAGAAGCTATATGTGGTTTTATCAAAACCACTTCAGATGAATTTGAAGAAAACATAATGACACATATTAAAATGTTATAATAAAATCTGTTACTTTGTATGCTAATTTGAAAAAATTAAACTGTTTTAAAAATACAAAAAAATTCAAAAGAAATGTGCATGTCTTTAGTCCCAGCATTTGGGATACAGAGGCAGGCAGATCTTTGTAAGTTTGAGGCCAGTCTGGTCTACACAGAGAGTTCAAGGGAGACCCTTTCTAAAAGAAAGAAAGAAAGAAAGAAAGAAAGAAAGAAAGAAAGAAAGAAAGAAAGAAAGAAAGAAAGAAAGAAAGAAAGAAAGAAAGAAAGAAAGAAAGAAAGAAAGAAAGAAAGAAAGAAAGAAAGAAAGAAAGAAAGAAAGAACGAAGATTCAGATAATAATGGACTTTGATATGACTTTGATATGATTCTAAGTAGAATTGCTATTGTGTCATAATTTTCTAAACAACTGCCAACAGGACATAAGTGAACGCCAAAAGTTACTGCAATTCTGGCCTGGAGAGATGGCTCAGTGATTAGGAGCACTGCAGCACCCACATAGTGGCGTTACCATCAGTAACTCCAGTTCCAGGGAATCCAACATTCTCTTCTGATCTCCACAGGCATTGCACAACATTAATGCACTTACACACACACAAGCAATACACTCATACACATAAAATAAAAATAATAAAATGTTACTGCAACTCATGTAAAAATACTACACACTCTTACTGTCAATAAGAAGACTCTTCCTTGCTGAATGAACTTTACTAGATCCCCATTTAAGGAAATTATGGAAGACTTTAACGTTATGCTCAGGCAGGATATAAGAATTTATTTGAGAAGCTGCAACATAGTTCTCCCGTGCTCACATTTGTGGGTGATACCGGTGATATACAAGAAAATGTTTCTGGTCAAACTGCTGTTTATTATTCCATTCTCAAAGCAATGCTCATTTATTGAATTGGATGCTCAAAAGATTTAAATGACAATTAACTCATGAATTTAACAAACAAGGTAAAACCTTAAAGAACACAGAGCACTTCAGTCAGTCAAGGACATCAACATCATTTTGTTGAGACTCCCAGGGAGACTTACGAAAGAAGATGACTATCCAATGTTGAACACACTCTATGAACTAGGTCTCTAAATGGTGGGACTGGCTGAGCTTTCAGAAAAAAATTATTTTTTAGGGAAAGATGAGTCATTATGGTATCCAACTCTATCTTACAGAGGATTCTATACTAAGTGTGCTTCAGAAAGCTCTCGTGGAAGCAGCTGCTATAAAAGCTGCCCATTCTGACCTCTTGCTGAAAGACTCTAATATGTTCTTGAAGTCCCACCTTTGCTTCTCTTCAGTATCTTCAGATTTGGTGAAACAAATGGAAGCTTCCTTTTCTTCACTTCTCTCACCACTGTTAAATTCTTAACACATATAAAACAATAATTCTTAAAGCCCAAAGTAGAAAAACAAGCTAGGTGTGGTGGCACATGCCTGCAATTAGCACTTAAGAGGCAGAGGCAAGACAATCACCACAAATTTGAGGTCAGCAAAGTTTACACAAAGAGGTCCAGGCAGTCCAGGGCTGTATAATAATACCTTGTTTCAGAAAACAAAAATATCTCCTTACTTTTCCAAAGTGAGTATTATATTTTAATTTTTTAAAATATTACTTTGAGAAAGCTTTTTATTCTGAGAAAGACTAAAGAAGTCCGAAAAAAGTTTTTTTTTTAATAGTCAAATAAGTCACATAGTTTGAAGTATTGTTATTGTTGTTATAATTATCATGAATTGTGTTGATGGGATTATAATCTCCTTAAATTGTGTTTTGTTTGGAGTTTTTTGTTAGTTTGTTTAAAGTAAAATCAATATTGACCAGAAAAGACTGACTTTCCATATTTTGTGGAAAAATCTCATTGGTATTCACGTGTTACTAATTATTATAGAATGTTCTACATTGATTCACTGATAAACATGGAGTGGAATATCTTTTTGTTTTAAATAGCTATTTCCATTAAATCGATAGCAATCAACCATTTTTACCTTAGTGTAAATTAATACAGCCTATCCTTTCTTGCAATGATTCCCTGAAGGGAAACTGAAAGATATCAAGCTGAGAAACTATGAAGTTAAGGGCTATACTACACTGAGCAAAAAAGTGCAAGTTTATCCAGAACAACTGCCTTCTTCATGATTTTTCCCAAATCCTAATTTGTTCTCAATTGCTTTTTAATTGGTCATTTGCTTTGTCAATAAAATTACTGTTTAATGGCTTAACCATTAAAAATGAACATTAAAACAAATGCTCAATTTATCCTCTATAGAACTTGGTATTCTGTCTAGATAAAGAATTATTCAAATTCACAGAGCTTTATTGCAGTTTGGACTATCTCCCTGGCCTGCTCAGATCCAACATAGCTGTACAAAGGCTTGGCCACTCACCTTTTTCAGCAACTACAGCTGCTGTTGATATATCTAGGAAGAAAACCAGAAAGCAAGAGGCTAAGTGTTTTAGTTTCATCTGTTCATTTGTTTTGGTCTTGGCACATAGGAAATTCCTTAAATGGAAGCAGTGTACAGGTAACTTTATTATTATTTTTTTTTAGAAACTTGCTTCTTTTTTTAAAAAAATTATTATTATTTTATTTCATGTGTATGCGTGTATTGCCTGCATGTAGGTCAGTGCACCCGTGTTGTTCAATGCTGGCAGAGGTCAGAAGAGGCTGTCGGATCTCCTGGGATTGGAGTTACAGACAGTTGTTAGCTGCCATGTGGGTGCTGGGATTCAAATTCAGATCCTCTGCAAGAACAACCAGTGCTCTTAACTGCTGAGCCATCTCTCCAGCCCCCAGCAACATCCTTATTTTTATTTTTATCTTATGTGTATGAATGTATTGCCTGCATGTATGTAAACATACTCATGTTGTGCAATGCCCATGGAAGTCAGAAGAAAGTGTCAGATCCCCTGGAACTAGAGTTACAGATGGTTGTTAAAAGCAATGTAGGTTCTGGGAACTGAACCCAGGTCCTCTCCAGCAGTAGCCAGTACTCTTTTTTTTGAGGCTTCCTTACCTTCCTAATTTTATTTTTTTTTAATTTTTCAATATTTTAATTTTTGAGAATGTCATGCTTGAGTATTGTCTTTGTATTATTTCCATACTGGGTCCCACCACCTCCTCCCATGTCCCCCCATTCCTTGTCAATTTCTTATCCTCATCTTTGTTATTCTTACATATACATACATTTATTAATATGCATATATGTGTGTGTGTGTGTGTGTGTGTGTGTAATGCACTGAGTCTTCATGTGTACCCGTGTTTAGGGCTGTCTATTTGGGATTATATAACTTCTCAGGGAGCTAGTTCCTAGAGAAAACTGATTCTTCTTTGGCATCCATGGATTGCCTATAGCTACTCATCTTTAGGTGGGACCCTCTGAGAGTCCCCACTTCCATCTTGGTGTGTTAATGTTAACTGCTTTTGTCAGTATGCAGGTCCAGATAGACTACCATACTGTGGAAATTTCATTGGTTCAGTTTCCCTATCATGACTAGAATGCATTAATTAGCAGCAGGTTGTCTTAATTCTTTCTGCCCCCTCTTCTGTGATGTTCCCTGAGCCTTAGGTGTAGAGGTCGCATTGTAGATGACAGCTAGTGTTCTTGAGTGCTGAACCATCTCTCCAGTCCTAGGAGGCTCCTTCAAACCCCAGCAGTGGCTGTGATCAAATCTTTCCCATTCAAGACACTATAACCATAAGCTTCCCTTTAACTTTGACTTTATTTTGGGATAATCAAATGTATGCTCAAGATAGTTCAATGATGCTACTTTAGAATACTTTTAAGTAGTCATTAGTATTAGAATCAATAAACAATGAAGAAGAGAAAATATGACTAGATTTATATGGTTTGACTTTTTGAATGTCTTCTTTCATTAGCAGTTTCATGGACACTCAGTGAAACGTACACCTCGGCCCCATCAGATACAAGCTTCACTTTTTATGGTGAGTTAAGACCAAGTGACACAGAAGACACTGATCTGCTTTACGTATGCCCCAGTGGAAAAATAAGAACTGATAAGGTTCCAGTCTCAAGCAGATGTTTAGAAGTGAAACCTGATGATGAAAATGTCAGTGAGTGGAACCAAAATTCTTCCATCTCTCAGAGGACATAGATTCAAATATACAGTAACATTTTGTCCAGTAATATCTATGAAAAATGTCTTTTGATTTTTACTCCCCCATTGGACATGGAGTGATCAGTTGGTCAACATGGACTTGCTTATTAGTTGAAAAGGAATCTTTGGTGATTTCTAACACACTGGAGTGTAGAGATCAGTTGAATCTCTTTGACCCTATGAGAATATGTGGTATTTTGCAAAGAAACTTAAAGATTTCACAAAGATTTTTCAGTAGTTTGTTTTGTTAGCAGAAGTGTGCATGCAAATTCTCTCTCTTTTTGAAACCAATGGAAATTTTACTCATTTGGCAGCTAGTAGATTGCTCCCAGGACCCTGGCCTTCTTGTATCTTGTACTTTAATAAGGAAATTATATTGAACATAGAAACATCTCCTTAACCTAGTCAGACTCCGAATAGCTGTGTTGAGGCCATTCATATTAAGATTTCCCCAACAGTGGACTCATTCCAATTACAGGGCCTCAAAAGAATCCTTTACTGTAATTTTTCATCATTGCCTCCCAGGTCAGGAGTGGATAACTTGCCTTCCTTGGGTATAGTAGCCATTTTTCAGGCTCTTTCTGGAACCAAACACTGAATCCAGGTTGCCTATGGCCACCATGGTAGGCACAGAGACTACCATCGAAAGTTGATTGGGCAGATGTTAGAAATGTAAATTCAAACCAGAAATAAAAAATCCCAGCATAAACAGGAGGAAGGGGGTAAGAAACTCCAACCCCACCTAAGGAAGTTGTGTGAACAGATGGGAGGGGCAGAGACAATCTATTTCAAGCATGGGATTTTTGGTAGGTTAACCAGGGGCTAATGGATGGCCCCATACTGAATGACATATGGGGACAAAAATTGGATTCTATAGGTCTTCATATATATATTTATACATATATAACAGAGTACCTTAACTTGAGTCAGGGCCAATAAGGTGACATACAGCATCAAATAGTGAATGAAAATCTCCAAAATTCAATTAAAAAACAAAAATTCAAATATTCATAAATATACTTAACAAATAACATGCAATTTTTTAATTTTTTTAGAAGAAGCATTTCATTACAGCTCTAACATACTCAATAACAGTTTCCAGAGCAAAGATACATCTCTTTCAAAAGTGGCTATAAAATTTTTAGGTTTGCTGTTGAATTAATACACTTACACAATATTGAACTCAGTATAAGCCCCGTGAGACATAAAATTGAATGAGTTTTTAAACTTTAAAAAAAGAACTCCATTTCATTTTAAAATATACCATTTCTTACAGAAATACTCATTGTTTTTGCTAATAACACTGAAATGTTGGGGCATGCATCTCTAATCTGTATGTATCTGATTATTACTAGTCATAATCATTTGCACTTGAATCCTTGGCATCTGTGTATGTCTATAAAGTCATTGGGTAGATTTCAATGGTAATGTTTATCACCTCTGATTAACATGACATAAATTTTTATATTTCCTCCTAAAATATAATTCATTTATTTAATTTGTTGATTTTGTGTGTGTGTGTGTGTGTGTGTGTATAAATCACACAGACCATCCCAAACCATCTTATTCAACTACTATACACCCAATTCCCAGACGGCACCCTCACATTACCTCCCTCACCCTAGTAGAACCTTATACTCTGTTATCCCTGCTACTGTCCACTGTGTTGTCGGCACCCCCAGCCATTCCCCACTACTTGCCCTTCTGGTGAATCTAGTCAGCCTATCTAGAAGTCTTTGTTTTAGGAAGGTCAGCTGTTCCTCATCTAGCAGCAATCAGTTGTCAATATTCCTTTAGATTGGGGTCTGTGGTTCATTTTCCGAGTTCTATGCTGGGTTACTATCTGAGAGTTCCTTGGGCCACCCTGCCAAAAACTCAAAAGAAGGTATCTCCTATCTGGCATTGCTTCTTATGAAGCCTTTAGCTATATATATGGACTCTTAAAAAATTATACTGGCCCCTTTAATCTATGGTTATACTTTCCTTTAGGGTGTTTAAGGACCAGATAAACCATTTTATTTTTATCTTAAGGCTGTGTGAGGATCCGTTCCTCAGGGGTATCTTGGGCTTGGGAGGAGCCCCTGGCTCCTTTCTTTTACGGGTTCCGCCCATGTGAAGATAAGTCAAAGGTCTCGCTTGACATTGGTTGGTTTCGCTTAGAAGCATGGAGGAAATGTTTCCTCTGTGTTGACCCTCCTCTTTGTAGACTGGACACTGGTTCAAGTCCATCTCGTGGGGTCTCCTCAGCCTCCTTGATCAAGAGGACAGGTGACCCACCTCCATTACAGGACATTTGGAGAGATGTTCATAGTCCCCTGGAACTAGTTGACCTAGGAGGGCAAGGAGAAAAAACTGTCCTTTATGTCCACTGACCAAATTAGTACAGGCCACGAAGTATGTCTGTTAAACATCCAAGAAGGTTAGTTCCACCAGTCTGGTACTTTTAATTACTGTGTGCCATGTAGATAAATCTTGGGCAAAGACCAATTGTTCTCAGATAAACCTTGCCTAGACATATATTTCTTGATCTGGTATGTATAATTTGTCAGTACGTGGTTGGAGTAATATGGTTCCCTCTGGTTTTTAAAACTAGCTAGGCATCATTTGTCTCCTGCATTGTCTAACCCCTCCATCATGGCTTCCCCAATTAACATGCCCCCATTTTTCCCCTTTCTCCCTTAATAATACCCCTAATGGTCCTACCTCTCTTGAGCTCCTTCTTTCCCTTTATCCTTTAGGTTCCTTGGATAATCTTCCCTCCTGCCTCCCTTAAACTAACCCACTTTTTATCCATATCTCCCTTATTAATGCCTGTTTCCTACTGTTTTTCTCTTTCAGGTTCTTTCTTTTCCTTTACCTCCCTGGTTCATTTCCATTATCCTGGTCCTTGTAGTTATGTCTGGATACATACTCACTTATCAGGGTTTAGTGCTAGGATC